CGCGACTCTCTTTGCCGATCTACCAAATTACAAGAGCCCATCAATCATCACTGGAAACTCCCACCGTCCTGACTTGCTTCTATTAACCTCTAAAGAATGTCTCTATATTGTTGAACTAACTGTTGGTTTTGAATCAAATCTTGAAAATAATGTTAAGCGCAAAAAATGCAAATACTTAGAATTAATTAGAGAACAACGCAAACATTACCAAGCAGTAAAATTTATTAATCTATCAATTAGCTCTCTTGGTGTCTTTTCAAAAGAATGTTCGACATTCTTAGAAATGCTTAAAGATATTGGCTTTGAAAGGAACCACCATGAATACCTTATTAAACGAATGACGACGATTGCAATTCGAACAACCTATTACATATTTTGTTGCCGGAATAAAGATTGGTCCAATCCTGAACTTTTAACATTTTGACCTATATTTTATAACGTTTTTATAGATGATGTATTGTAGTTAATTGTAAAATTGTAGTCATTGATTGATTCAAGTAGCCGATTGTAAATTACCTTATATAAGTGAGATTTACAATTGTATATACCCTAAAAATTTATTAATAAAGTTTTCATTATTATTCAGTCGTGCACAAGATGTATGAAGGTATTTTTAAACTTCGGTTTCACCACCGTTTAAGTTAAACGCCTTTGAAAGAGGCTAAACCACTTTATATCTCTAGAACCCAATCCATCGATTGTTCCAGATTTCTACTATTTTTCTTTGCTCTCACAGACTCTGAAGACCATATGAAACTATAGTTTAATTCCACATTTGCGGAAATCATCTCTAGAAAAGACTTAGAATTATGGAACAACATAATGAGTAATAAGAACAATGCTTTGCATGAATTGTTAGCTAATAACCTAAATATAGACAGTTGAGACAGAGAGGGCACGAATTCGAATTGCCCATTGTGAGAACTGAACGATTTAAATGTTCGTTTATAAATAGATGCCTTTTTAACTATATATTTGATATTCTATACTTTCAATTATTTATAATAATTAGTTCTATGTATGTATATGTACATATGTATATATATATCTATATATTGTAAATAGCGGTTATTTTATTGCACATAAAATTTGTAAACTCGTTTGTATGTTTTGAGTATATAATTGTCATTGCCGACAAATAAAGACTTCTATCTATAACGAAATATTACCAGAATGGCACAATTTGCATGTTAGTCTAACTTTGTATCCAGGCAAGAAGACATAAATAAATCACGACAGCTAGTAAATTCATACTAGAATTAGTAAAATGGCAAAGTTTAGTTGTAAAATGTTTTAAAATGCACAAAATACGGCCGTGCTAATTATTCAATTCAAGTATCAATTCAATTCAAAAGTCTTTATTGTATACTTTTGACAGTTTTTACTCTACTAAAGCCTGAAAACTAGTTTCGTTTGATATTCGGGGCAATCTTACTTCCGGCGGGATTACTTCATCGACAGAACATACAGCATACAACCATATTAACTATGATACAAGTTCATACAACAAATTGATTGGATGGCTATAACTAATATTATTGGATAACTAATAATATTATTGACGATATTTGATTTCGTGATCGAAGATTAGGTCCGGAAAGAAGACTACAAAGGTTTTTCATCCAAATTGTATTTGTTTTATTTTGGATGCCGTGTCGTCATCGTTGGATATCAACTATTTAAGGTAGGAAGTTGATGAAAAACCCCGCTTAGTCAGTAATTTGTTCAATAGCTACCACAGAACTGAGACGCAACTAATAATCACAGGATTATCGAGTATCATATTTGTGCGAGGCATATTGTGTGTAGCAGTGTTAATATACCGTAGAGACCCAAACTATACCTAGAATAGCCCTAGAGTAGTCAATAACAAGATGGCAAAATCGAGGGTGCGTATTCATACATCCGTCTTGTACCGCCGACTGATTCCCTTTTTAAGACGATTGTTTCAGGTACCGGTTTATGAACATGAATATATAAATAACATACACTCTGATCGTACAGTTGAAACTTTCTATGGAGACTGGTCTAAACCCCTTAGCTATTGTGTTGCATAGAATTTTTTACAGAATAACAAGACGGCAAAATCGAGGGTGCGTATTCATGCATACATCCGTCTTGTACCCCCGACTGATTCCCTTTTAAAGACGATTGTTTCAGGTACCGGTTTATGAACATGAATATATAAATAATAACACTCTGATCGTACAGTTGAAACTTTCTATGGAGACTGGTCTAAACCCCTTTGCTGTTGTGTTGCTTAGAATTTTGTACAGAATAACAAGATGGCAAAATCGAGGGTGCGTATTCATACATCCGTCTTGTACCCCCGACTGATTCCCTTTTAAAGACGATTGTTTCAGGTACCGGTTTATGAACATGAATATATAAATAATATACACTCTGATCGTACAGTTGACACTTTCTATGGTGACTGGTCTAAACCCCTTAGCTGTTGTGTTGCTTAGAATTTTGTAAAGTCTGTTTTAGACATATTTTCGTTTTATAAAAAACTTGCCAATATTTCAGAGCTCGCGTCATGACAGTTGGATACTAAAAGAAGCTTTGTCTTATTTGATTTCATTTTAAATAATTTTCCGTTGAGGACAACTTTTAAAATGTTACTTAATTTGTTTTGACCAGAAAATATTCGCAGAGCAGACTTCACATCATCCTTAATAATTAAGGATTCAGGGTAGCAAGTTAGCAAACAGCATGGTGAATTAAGAAGCGCATGACTACAGATATCATATAAAGATTGAGCAATATCGGCGAGTATTGGCTATATGGCTGCATGGAGGGTCTATTGCATGTAAAACATTTTTCGTTCGTTTGTTTGTCGATCGTCGATACCCGATATACAACCGAGAAGTAAGAACTAGTTTCGTTTGATATTCGGGGCAATCCTACCTCCGGCGGGATTACTTCATGGACAGAACATACAGCTTACAACCATATTAACTATGATACAAGTTCATACAAAAAAAGTGAGTGCATGGTTGAATAATATTATTGGATAACTAATATATTTTTGACGATATTTGATTTCGTGGTCGAAGATTTAGGTCTGGAAAGATTTTTTATCAAAATTATATGTTTTATTTCGGATGCGTGTCATCATCGTTAGACATCAAGGTAGAAAGTTAGTGAATAACGACCCTGCTTAGTCAGTAATTTGTACAGTACGACAGAACTGAAACGCAACTAATAATCATGCGATTACTTGTGTGATTACATCATATTTGTGCGAGAAATATTGTGTGCAGCAGTGTTAATTAATCGTAGAGACCCAAACTATAACTAGAATAGCCTTAGAATAGTTAATAACAAGGTGGCAAAATCGAGGGTGCGTATTCATACATTCGTCTTGTATCCCCGACTGATTCCCTTTTAAAGACGATTGTTTCAGTTACGGTTTATGAACATGAATATATAAAGAATATACACTCTGATCGTACAGTTGACTCTTTCTGTGGTGATTGGTCTAAACCCCATAGCTGTTGTGTTGCTTAGAATTTTGTAAAGTAGTCTAGGACCTGTAAAAGAGTTTGTATGCATTTCATTTAGTACATATTATCTCAACTTTTTAGGCTAAAATGACGGCATGGCGGTCAACATGGCATATGTGCCAAAATCTCAATCCGGGACGAAAGTCCTGAAAATGACCACACCCAGAAACGGCATAGTCAACATAACTGTAAATCCTTAATTATTAAAGCTACAGCCTTTCTGAATTGTTTATGGTTCAGAATGGTTGCTTTTAGGGGTGGTCACTGCAGGGTGAAATTAGCCTAAGTTTCATATTTTACAAGAAAAAGAATGTTTACCATTCCTGGTCAACTGCTAATTATGCATAAAATTACAGATTCACCTGGCAAAGTCTAATTTTCCCTGTTTTCTAAAAATTTTTGCCATATGATGAAAAAACATTCTATTTTAATATATTCATTATAAATTTCCTAGGAAATAACAATGTTTTGTTTGCGATACGACATATTTCATTTCATTTACCCCCCGCCAGAACACGATTTCAGCCATATTTGCATATTTGATCGCGGTTTTTCGCCGTCCGTCGCAAGCACCATCCAAATACTGTACTTTAGCACGATTCTAGTGGACTAAAGAATTATTCAACAAAATTTTTGATGGGTTTTAAAGTAGTGCCATGTAATATTTTTTCATTTTTGTGTCCCTTTCATCAATTATGTCGCCATTGCAACGTTCACCGCCTTTCTGCACGATAATTCCCACTTCTTGATCCCCAGCATGTATTTGTGAAAAATGTACCCTGCAATGTTGCCCACGAGCAATTGTCGTGGAGTGTGCGCTAGACTTTTAAATTATTTTGAATATTTGCACTTAAATTTCACACACGATAAACGAGGGGTAGTTTTTTATTTCCAAGTGGGGCAAATTCTTTTAAATTTTGGATAGCTGCTATTCTACTATCAGTTATTTATCCATGCTGTGTAAAAAAACAGCTGGGGGTCAAGAAGTGGTATTTATCGTGAAGAAAGGCGACGAGACATGGGAATTGCGACATAATTGATGAAATGTCAAGGGACACAAAATGAGACACAAAAATATTACATGGCACTACTTCAAAACCCATCGAAAATTAGTGAATAATTATTTAGTCCACTAGAACTTTACTTAAACAGTTAAACTGGGAACGACTACTCGGCTACTATCTCGTCTGTTTTTGTCTTCACCGTAGACAATCGTGCCGACGTAAACAAAGAAAAGTGACTGGCAATGGTCTAGATTCGGCTAAAAATTGGCTCCAAAGATAGCTGTTATCCTCCCGAGGCCGATTTGATGAAAATTAGATAGTGCTTCCGCCAGATAGTGATTTTTCCACAGTTTTAAACATTTGGAGCTAACAGTAATTAATAACTTGGTTTTCAGGTTCCCATCGCGCTATTTCAAAGATGTTGGTCAGGCAAGATGATATGACTTTGTTATAAGCACCAAAGAAGATTGTAAAAAATAATATAAGAATGACTGAACTCAAGGAAGATGATAATGTTATGATGTCCCAGGCTGAGGACAGCGACGTAACTTCAAGCTTTACGGAAAACAATAATATCGCTTCGTCCGAAAATAAACAATCCCAATCTGTTAATAAACAGAAAGAAGTTGAAGATGAACTCCAAGAAAAAGACATTCAAAACGAAGAATGTGATGGCGGTGAGAATTAAAACAAATGTCCTATGATAGAAGTAAAATCCTATCTTCTACTAACTCGTACATTTTGATCAGGACATTCAGAGTTGCAGATGGACTGCCTAATTGGGGGGGGGGGTTGCATATTCATACGTTCATGTTTATATATCGTAGAAACTACAGCGTAGCAAAGAAATCAGACAGGTATAAAGGCGGCTTTCGAACCATTCAGTGCAAAATGTCGCGCGACCTATTTTTTGCAATCGCTTTCTTTTGAAATGTGTTAATGCATGGGATTATAGTTCCGCTTGATTGTTTGTATTTAAAAAAAAAAACGATCGCAAAAAGTCCATCGTGCGACATTTTCATCCAGAAAATCCGCATTAAGCTTCTGGCTGCACGGCCCTAACCATCAAGGTCCCACAATAATTGGCCTAGGCAATTGCGTTCGCTATTGACAAAGGCGATACTAAATAAATGAGTAAAATAATAAATTACTTTACTATAAATAATTTATTATTAAATATTTAGTTGACCATGGAGCAAGCATTTATTCCCAGAACGAAGATGGTGAAACAGTTTTGTCGATAGCGATAAGAAATGGTTTATTTGATGTGGTTAAGTATTTTGTTCAATGTGGCCCTGAACATAATTTTCAAGATTATTCTAAAGTTCTTCAGAGTGCAATAAAGTCTCGGTCATTAGAAATTGTGAAATATTTCGTTGAAGATTGTGGGGCTGATATACATTGTAAAGATGATTCGGGAAATACTGCCTTACATCATGCTGTTTATGTTGGTGGAATAGAAATTGTCAAATACTTAGTTAAACAATGCGGTGCAGACATGAATGCCAGGAATCCAGACGGGGGGACAATGCTACAACTTGCTGTTACAGAAGGTACGCTAGAATTGGTGAAATATCTTGTTGAACAGGGCGCTGATGTAAACGGCCAGGGTACTGACGGGTGGACAGTGCTGCACGCTGCTGTTACAAAATCTACTCCAGAAGTTGTAAAATATCTTGTTGAAAATGGCGCTGTTGTAAACGGCAAGGATACTACAGACGGCTGGACAGTATTACACTATGCTGTTGCCTATAGTTCATTAGACATGATGAAACATCTTGTTGAACTGGGGGCAGATGTAAATGGCGAAAAGACCGATGGGTGGACAGTGCTGCATGATGCTGTTACAAACGGTACGCTAGAAAAGGTAAAATATCTTGTTGAAATTGGTGCTAATGTAAATGGTAAGAGCAATGGCGGGTGGACGGTGCTTTACAATGCTATTTCTAAAGGTACGCTAGAAATTGTAAAATATCTAGTAGAAATGGGCGCTGATGTGAATGCCAAGGATACCACTTACGATTGGACAATGCTTCACTCTGCTGTTACTGAAGGTACGCCAGCAATGGTAAAATATCTTGTTGACATGGGCGCTAATGTAAATAGTGAGGATAGTAAGGGATGGACGGTGCTGCGATATGCGATTTTCAAAGGCACACTAGAAATAATAGAATGTCTTGTTGAACATGGTGCTGATGTTAATGACAAAATTGAAATGCGATCAATTCTGCACTGTGCACTGTGTGTTACTCAAGATACTTTAGAAATAGTGAACTGCCCTGTTGAGAAGGGTGCTGATTGCAATTGTAAGAAGACTACCGGGGAAACAGTGTTGCACTCTGCTTTTTCTAAAGGCAGGACAGATATAGTAAAATATCTCGTTCAGAAAGGCGCTGATGTAAATGTTAAGAATACTTACGGGAAGACAGTGCTGCACTCTGCTGTTACTGAAGGTAACTTCGAAATTGTGAAATATCTTGTGGGAAAAGGCGCTGATGTAAATGTAAAACGGAAAAATAGATGGACAGTGTTGCACAGTGCTGTTAGAAAAGGTTCGCTAGAAATGGTGAAATATCTTGTTGAGAAGAACGCCGATGTAAATGCCGAGAGTTTTTGCCGGAGGACAGTGTTGCACATTGCTTTTAGAAAAGGTTCGCTAGAAATGGTGAAATATCTTGTGGGAAATGGCGCTGATGTAAATGCCAAGAATAATCGCGGGGAGACAGTGCTATATTATGCTGTTTCTGAAGGTACGCTAGAAATGGTGAAATATCTTGTTGAAATGGCGCTGATGTAAATGCCAAGAATACTCGAGCTCACGGGAAGACGGTGCTGCACTCTGCTGTTTCTGAGGGTACGCTAGAAATGGTGAAATATCTTGTGGAAAATGGCGCTGATGTATATGCAAAAGAGAATAGCGGACGGACAATGTTGAAAAGAGCTATTTTAAAAGGTTCGCTAGAAATGGTGAAATATCTTATGGGAAATGGCGCTGATGTAAATGCCAAGAATAATCGCGGGGAGACAGTGCTATATTATGCTGTTTCTGAAGGTACGCTAGAAATGGTGAAATATCCTGTTGAGAATGGCGCTGATGTAAATGCCAAGAAAACTCGAGCTCACGGGAAGACGGTGCTGCACTCTGCTGTTTCTGAGGGTACGCTAGAAATGGTGAAATATCTTGTGGAAAATGGCGCTGATGTATATGCAAAAGAGAAAGCGGACGGACAATGTTGAAAAGAGCTATTTTAAAAGGTTCGCTAGAAATGGTGAAATATCTTGTTGATACGAGTTTTGATGTAAATGCCGAGAATACTCACGGGGAGACAGTGCTGCACTGCGCTGTTTCTGAAGGTACGCTAGAAATGGTGAAATATCTTGTGGGAAATGGCGCTGATGTAAATGGAAAAACGAAAAGCGGAATGACAGTGTTGCACGTTGCCGTTGTAAAAGGTTCGTTAGAAATGGTAGAATATCTTGTCGAGAACGGTGCTGATGTAAATGCCAAGAATACTCACGGGGAGACAGCGCTGAACTCTGCTGTTTCTGAAGGTACGCTAGAAATGGTGAAATATCTTGTTGAGAATGGCGCTGCTGTAAATGCCAAGAATACTCGAGCTCACGGGAAGACGGTGCTGCACTCTGCTGTTTCGGAGGGTACACTAGAAATGGTGAAGTATCTTGTGGAAAATGGCGCTGATGTATACGCAAAAGAGAATAGCGAACGGACAATGTTGAAAAGAGCTATTTCAAAAGGTTCGCTAGAAATGGTGAAATATCTTGTTGATACGAGTTTTGATGTAAATGCCAAGAGTACTCACGGGGAGACAGTGCTGCACTGCGCTGTTTCTGAGGGTACGCTAGAAATGGTGAAATATCTTGTGGGAAATGACGCTGATGTAAATGGAAAAATGAAAAGCGGAACGACAGTGTTGCACGTTGCCGTTGTAAAAGGTTCGTTAGAAATGGTAAAATATCTTGTCGAGAACGGTGCTGATGTAAATGCCAAGAATACTCACGGGAAGACAGTGTTGAACTCTGCTGTTTCTGAAGGTACGCTAGAAATGGTGAAATATCTTGTGGGAAATGGCGCTGATGTAAATGGAAAAAATAATAAAGAATGGACAGTCCTGCACAGTGCTGTTACTAAGGACTGGCTACACATGGTAAAATACCTTGTTGAAAATGGTGCTGATGTAAATTGCAAGGATACTAACGGAGGGACAGTCTTGCACCATGCTGTTCGTGTTGGTAATATAGTAACTGTGAAGTATTTAGTTGAACAGGGTGCTGATGTTGGCATTGGCATCCTCCAAATGGCTGTTAGAAACAACTTCGTCGCCTTTGTCAATCTTCTTTATGAGAAGGACATCGCGATGTTGAGAGAGCAAACGATAATTGCTGAAGGGCGAAGAATGAATCTTCTTGAATGGAGCATCCACCTTGGTCATGATGAAATTGCAACTATCTTTAAAAGGTCGGTAAAACATCGTGAGAAAATTCAGAAGTTGAAAACAACGAGCTGTAACGAGTTAAAAGAGGTAATATTGTTAGACTGTATAATAAATTTTGCAAAATATCCTATCCAAGGTTATGGGGGAGTTTACAAACAAATGACATCGCAGCTCGGTGACGAGCATTTAGTTTCGCACATTTTGTAGCCAATCGGTAACATAATAAACTTCTCTACCAAACCGCGACTACGGAACTCGCGCGATATACGGGTTCAGTTGACCAAAACTAAGATTAATCATTCAGATTCGCACCAAACCCAGCGTTTCCACAACTTATTTGCACAAGGCTGTCTTCATGGAAAGATGGTAATAAAAAAGAGAGAAACAAAAAATGTTTGAAAAGAATGCATGATATATCCTATTAAAACTAACCCTCCCTATATATATATATATATATATATATATATATATATATATATATATATATATATATATATATATATATATATATATTTATATATATATATATATATACGTAAGGTGAATTTGTTCTTCTGCACAAGTATGACCAACCGGGCAAGCAGAAAATTCTACTTGACCGCGGTGGGAATCGAACCCGCGACCTTCGCATTTCTAGAACGATGCTCTACCGTCTGAGCTGCAAGGCCAAGTTGGGAACGACTGTGATTTTGCTTAAGTTGTTATTGACAATGCGGAGTTTCGTCCTTTAACATGTCGTTATGCAGTTACATCTGCAAATGTTGATATATTTGTACGTTTTTGCTCTCAATTGAGCCATGTGTTCACTTGTGGATATTTATGTAAGGTGTATTTGTTCTTCTGCACAAGTATGACCAACCGGGCAAGCAGAAAATTCTACTTGACCGCGGTGGGAATCGAACCCGCGACCTTCGCATTCCTTGTAGCTCAGACGGTAGAGCATCGTTCTAGAAATGCGAAGGTCGCGGGTTCGATTCCCACCGCGGTCAAGTAGAATTTTCTGCTTGCCCGGTTGGTCATACTTGTGCAGAAGAACAAATACACCTTACATATATATATATATATATATATATATATATATATATATATATATATATATATATATATATATATATATATATATATATATATATATATATATATATATATATATATATATATATATCATCAGTCGCCTGATGATCGCTTTGCTTTTTTTAGCTTAGCGTGAAACACCGTGTAGCGACGGCTTTAAATTAAAATAAAGAATTAGTAAATATTATTTATGCTCTGCTTTTTTTTTGGTATTGAGCACTCTTCTTGTCTATTACAAACAAACTAAATTTTGAATATAAATATATATATATATATATATATATATATATATATATATATATATATATATATATATATATATATATATATATATATATATATATATATATACATCAGGAGCCAGTCCAAAAGAAAAAACTATTTAGATATATAGCTTCAATTCACCACATCGCAGTGTTCAAAAATTAAACTTTTAATAAACTAAATCAAATCAAATACATCTTGTAATGTATACTACGTTTCGGGGCGCAGCCCCTTCGTCAGAAATGTTTCCTTACTAATCCTAAGCCTTCTTATATAGTTACAACAAATTTGCATACATAAATTAACCTTAAGTTTCCTCCCTCACATTTAATCCCATAGGACAATAAGTCCTTAACTTTTCTATCCAAAAACTTTCCCTTTCATTAGGTTTGTTGATATCAGTAACATCAATTATTTGAACACTTATGTCCCCTAATCCCTTATGTCCTTGTTCAAAAAAATGCGCATATAAACCCTGACCACAAATACCTCTCTGACCCCTACCAAAACGTAACAATGAGCTTTTATGATTATTAAATCTCAACCTAAGTGCCGTAACTGCGTTCCCGACGTACTACTGTAGATGGCATGTCTTACAAGTTATGAAATAAATCACCCCTTCTGAATCACAATCAAAGGCATGATTTATGTGATAAACTTTACCCGTTGAAAAGCTACTAAATTTAGACCCCAAAATAATATAATTACACACTTGACAGCGCTTCTTACCACACTTAGACATGCCTCTATCCGAAGTTTCAATACTACGTAACTTAGACCTGACCAGATGATCTTTAAGGTTCCTCGGTCTACGAAAACTTAACAGTGGTTTTTCAGGTAAAACCTTAAAAAATCCGATGACATCTTAACTATACCCTGCATTTCCTGCAAGGTACCCTTTAAACAATTAAGTGCCGGATGAAAATCCAGTACCAAACAAACCCTATTGTCTTGACCCTTACACTGATCAGACACAATCTGATGATCATAATTCCTAACCCTATTAAATTGTTTCTCAATAAAACCCCGATCATAGCCTCGCTCCATCAAGAAACCTCTTAGATCATCCAGTCTACCCTCCAAAATTTCCTCCGAACTACAAATTCGTTTAAGTCTAAGTCCCTGTCCGTATGGTATCCCCCTTTCGACATACTTTTTTAGGCTAAAATGACGGCATGGCGGTCAACATGGCATATGTGCCAAAATCTCAATCCGGGACGAAAGTCCTGAAAATGACCACACCCAGAAACGGCATAGTCAACATAACTGTAAATCCTTAATTATTAAAGCTACAGCCTTTCTGAATTGTTTATATGGTTCAGAATGGTTGCTTTTAGGGGTGGTCACTGCAGGGTGAAATTAGCCTAAGTTTCATATTTTACAAGAAAAAGAATGTTTACCATTCCTGGTCAACTGCTAATTATGCATAAAATTACAGATTCACCTGGCAAAGTCTAATTTTCCCTGTTTTCTAAAAATTTTTGCCATATGATGAAAAAACATTCTTATTTTAATATATTCATTATAAATTTCCTAGGAAATAACAATGTTTTGTTTGCGATACGACATATTTCATTTCATTTACCCCCCGCCAGAACACGATTTCAGCCATATTTTGCATATTTGATCGCGGTTTTTCGCCGTCCGTCGCAAGCACCATCCAAATACTGTACTTTAGCACGATTCTAGTGGACTAAAGAATTATTCAACAAAATTTTTGATGGGTTTTAAAGTAGTGCCATGTAATATTTTTTCATTTTTGTGTCCCTTTCATCAATTATGTCGCCATTGCAACGTTCACCGCCTTTCTGCACGATAATTCCCACTTCTTGATCCCCAGCATGTATTTGTGAAAAATGTACCCTGCAATGTTGCCCACGAGCAATTGTCGTGGAGTGTGCGCTAGACTTTTAAATTATTTTGAATATTTTGCACTTAAATTTCACACACGATAAACGAGGGGTAGTTTTTTATTTCCAAGTGGGGCAAATTCTTTTAAATTTTGGATAGCTGCTATTCTACTATCAGTTATTTATCCATGCTGTGTAAAAAAACAGCTGGGGTCAAGAAGTGGTATTTATCGTGAAGAAAGGCGACGAGACATGGGAATGGCGACATAATTGATGAAATGTCAAGGGACACAAAAATGAGACACAAAAATTACATGGCACTACTTCAAAACCCATCGAAAATTAGTGAATAATTATTTAGTCCACTAGAACTTTACTTAAACAGTTAAACTGGAACGACTACTCGGCTACTATCTCGTCTGTTTTTGTCTTCACCGTAGACAATCGTGCCGACGTAAACAAAGAAAAGTGACTGGCAATGGTCTAGATTCGGCTAAAAATTGGCTCCAAAGATAGCTGTTATCCTCCCGAGGCCGATTTGATGAAAATTAGATAGTGCTTCCGCCAGATAGTGATTTTTCCACAGTTTTAAACATTTGGAGCTAACAGTAATTAATAACTTGGTTTTCAGGTTCCCATCGCGCTATTTCAAAGATGTTGGTCAGGCAAGATGATATGACTTTGTTATAAGCACCAAAGAAGATTGTAAAAAATAATATAAGAATGACTGAACTCAAGGAAGATGATAATGTTATGATGTCCCAGGCTGAGGACAGCGACGTAACTTCAAGCTTTACGGAAAACAATAATATCGCTTCGTCCGAAAATAAACAATCCCAATCTGTTAATAAACAGAAAGAAGTTGAAGATGAACTCCAAGAAAAAGACATTCAAAACGAAGAATGTGATGGCGGTGAGAATTAAAACAAATGTCCTATGATAGAAGTAAAAATCCTATCTTCTACTAACTCGTACATTTTGATCAGGACATTCAGAGTTGCAGATGGACTGCCTAATTGGGCGGGGGGGGTTGCATATTCATACGTTCATGTTTATATATCGTAGAAACTACAGCGTAGCAAAGAAATCAGACAGGTATAAAGGCGGCTTTCGAACCATTCAGTGCAAAATGTCGCGCGACCTATTTTTTGCAATCGCTTTCTTTTGAAATGTGTTAATGCATGGGATTATAGTTCCGCTTGATTGTTTGTATTTAAAAAAAAAACGATCGCAAAAAGTCCATCGTGCGACATTTTCATCCAGAAAATCCGCATTAAGCTTCTGGCTGCACGGCCCTAACCATCAAGGTCCCACAATAATTGGCCTAGGCAATTGCGTTCGCTATTGACAAAGGCGATACTAAATAAATGAGTAAAATAATAAATTACTTTACTATAAATAATTTATTATTAAATATTTAGTTGACCATGGAGCAAGCATTTATTCCCAGAACGAAGATGGTGAAACAGTTTTGTCGATAGCGATAAGAAATGGTTTATTTGATGTGGTTAAGTATTTTGTTCAATGTGGCCCTGAACATAATTTTCAAGATTATTCTAAAGTTCTTCAGAGTGCAATAAAGTCTCGGTCATTAGAAATTGTGAAATATTTCGTTGAAGATTGTGGGGCTGATATACATTGTAAAGATGATTCGGGAAATACTGCCTTACATCATGCTGTTTATGTTGGTGGAATAGAAATTGTCAAATACTTAGTTAAACAATGCGGTGCAGACATGAATGCCAGGAATCCAGACGGGGGGACAATGCTACAACTTGCTGTTACAGAAGGTACGCTAGAATTGGTGAAATATCTTGTTGAACAGGGCGCTGATGTAAACGGCCAGGGTACTGACGGGTGGACAGTGCTGCACGCTGCTGTTACAAAATCTACTCCAGAAGTTGTAAAATATCTTGTTGAAAATGGCGCTGTTGTAAACGGCAAGGATACTACAGACGGCTGGACAGTATTACACTATGCTGTTGCCTATAGTTCATTAGACATGATGAAACATCTTGTTGAACTGGGGGCAGATGTAAATGGCGAAAAGACCGATGGGTGGACAGTGCTGCATGATGCTGTTACAAACGGTACGCTAGAAAAGGTAAAATATCTTGTTGAAATTGGTGCTAATGTAAATGGTAAGAGCAATGGCGGGTGGACGGTGCTTTACAATGCTATTTCTAAAGGTACGCTAGAAATTGTAAAATATCTAGTAGAAATGGGCGCTGATGTGAATGCCAAGGATACCACTTACGATTGGACAATGCTTCACTCTGCTGTTACTGAAGGTACGCCAGCAATGGTAAAATATCTTGTTGACATGGGCGCTAATGTAAATAGTGAGGATAGTAAGGGATGGACGGTGCTGCGATATGCGATTTTCAAAGGCACACTAGAAATAATAGAATGTCTTGTTGAACATGGTGCTGATGTTAATGACAAAATTGAAATGCGATCAATTCTGCACTGTGCACTGTGTGTTACTCAAGATACTTTAGAAATAGTGAACTGCCCTGTTGAGAAGGGTGCTGATTGCAATTGTAAGAAGACTACCGGGGAAACAGTGTTGCACTCTGCTTTTTCTAAAGGCAGGACAGATATAGTAAAATATCTCGTTCAGAAAGGCGCTGATGTAAATGTTAAGAATACTTACGGGAAGACAGTGCTGCACTCTGCTGTTACTGAAGGTAACTTCGAAATTGTGAAATATCTTGTGGGAAAAGGCGCTGATGTAAATGTAAAACAGAAAAATAGATGGACAGTGTTGCACAGTGCTGTTAGAAAAGGTTCGCTAGAAATGGTGAAATATCTTGTTGAGAAGAACGCCGATGTAAATGCCGAGAGTTTTTGCCGGAGGACAGTGTTGCACATTGCTTTTAGAAAAGGTTCGCTAGAAATGGTGAAATATCTTGTGGGAAATGGCGCTGATGTAAATGCCAAGAATAATCGCGGGGAGACAGTGCTATATTATGCTGTTTCTGAAGGTACGCTAGAAATGGTGAAATATCTTGTTGAGAATGGCGCTGATGTAAATGCCAAGAATACTCGAGCTCACGGGAAGACGGTGCTGCACTCTGCTGTTTCTGAGGGTACGCTAGAAATGGTGAAATATCTTGTGGAAAATGGCGCTGATGTATATGCAAAAGAGAATAGCGGACGGACAATGTTGAAAAGAGCTATTTTAAAAGGTTCGCTAGAAATGGTGAAATATCTTATGGGAAATGCGCGCTGATGTAAATGCCAAGAATAATCGCGGGGAGACAGTGCTATATTATGCTGTTTCTGAAGGTACGCTAGAAATGGTGAAATATCTTGTTGAGAATGGCGCTGATGTAAATGCCAAGAAAACTCGAGCTCACGGGAAGACGGTGCTGCACTCTGCTGTTTCTGAGGGTACGCTAGAAATGGTGAAATATCTTGTGGAAAATGGCGCTGATGTATATGCAAAAGAGAAAAGCGGACGGACAATGTTGAAAAGAGCTTTTAAAAGGTTCGCTAGAAATGGTGAAATATCTTGTTGATACGAGTTTTGATGTAAATGCCGAGAATACTCACGGGGAGACAGTGCTGCACTGCGCTGTTTCTGAAGGTACGCTAGAAATGGTGAAATATCTTGTGGGAAATGGCGCTGATGTAAATGGAAAAACGAAAAGCGGAATGACAGTGTTGCACGTTGCCGTTGTAAAAGGTTCGTTAGAAATGGTAGAATATCTTGTCGAGAACGGTGCTGATGTAAATGCCAAGAATACTCACGGGGAGACAGCGCTGAACTCTGCTGTTTCTGAAGGTACGCTAGAAATGGTGAAATATCTTGTTGAGAATGGCGCTGCTGTAAATGCCAAGAATACTCGAGCTCACGGGAAGACGGTGCTGCACTCTGCTGTTTCGGAGGGTACACTAGAAATGGTGAAGTATCTTGTGGAAAATGGCGCTGATGTATACGCAAAAGAGAATAGCGAACGGACAATGTTGAAAAGAGCTATTTCAAAAGGTTCGCTAGAAATGGTGAAATATCTTGTTGATACGAGTTTTGATGTAAATGCCAAGAGTACTCACGGGGAGACAGTGCTGCACTGCGCTGTTTCTGAGGGTACGCTAGAAATGGTGAAATATCTTGTGGGAAATGACGCTGATGTAAATGGAAAAATGAAAAGCGGAACGACAGTGTTGCACGTTGCCGTTGTAAAAGGTTCGTTAGAAATGGTAAAATATCTTGTCGAGAACGGTGCTGATGTAAATGCCAAGAATACTCACGGGAAGACAGTGTTGAACTCTGCTGTTTCTGAAGGTACGCTAGAAATGGTGAAATATCTTGTGGGAAATGGCGCTGATGTAAATGGAAAAATAATAAAGAATGGACAGTCCTGCACAGTGCTGTTACTAAGGACTGGCTACACATGGTAAAATACCTTGTTGAAAATGGTGCTGATGTAAATTGCAAGGATACTAACGGAGGGACAGTCTTGCACCATGCTGTTCGTGTTGGTAATATAGTAACTGTGAAGTATTTAGTTGAACAGGGTGCTGATGTTGGCATTGGCATCCTCCAAATGGCTGTTAGAAACAACTTCGTCGCCTTTGTCAATCTTCTTTATGAGAAGGACATCGCGATGTTGAGAGAGCAAACGATAATTGCTGAAGGGCGAAGAATGAATCTTCTTGAATGGAGCATCCACCTTGGTCATGATGAAATTGCAACTATCTTTAAAAGGTCGGTAAAACATCGTGAGAAAATTCAGAAGTTGAAAACAACGAGCTGTAACGAGTTAAAAGAGGTAATATTGTTAGACTGTATAATAAATTTTGCAAAATATCCTATCCAAGGTTATGGGGGAGTTTACAAACAAATGACATCGCAGCTCGGTGACGAGCATTTAGTTTCGCACATTTTGTAGCCAATCGGTAACATAATAAACTTCTCTACCAAACCGCGACTACGGAACTCGCGCGATATACGGGTTCAGTTGACCAAAACTAAGATTAATCATTCAGATTCGCACCAAACCCAGCGTTTCCACAACTTATTTGCACAAGGCTGTCTTCATGGAAAGATGGTAATAAAAAAGAGAGAAACAAAAAATGTTTGAAAAGAATGCATGATATATCCTATTAAAACTAACCCTCCCTATATATATATATTATATATATATATATATATATATATATATATATATTATATATATTTTATATATATATATATATATATACGTAAGGTGAATTTGTTCTTCTGCACAAGTATGACCAACCGGGCAAGCAGAAAATTCTACTTGACCGCGGTGGGAATCGAACCCGCGACCTTCGCATTTCTAGAACGATGCTCTACCGTCTGAGCTGCAAGGCCAAGTTGGGAACGACTGTGATTTTGCTTAAGTTGTTATTGACAATGCGGAGTTTCGTCCTTTAACATGTCGTTATGCAGTTACATCTGCAAATGTTGATATATTTGTACGTTTTTGCTCTCAATTGAGCCATGTGTTCACTTGTGGTTATTTATGTAAGGTGTATTTGTTCTTCTGCACAAGTATGACCAACCGGGCAAGCAGAAAATTCTACTTGACCGCGGTGGGAATCGAACCCGCGACCTTCGCATTCCTTGTAGCTCAGACGGTAGAGCATCGTTCTAGAAATGCGAAGGTCGCGGGTTCGATTCCCACCGCGGTCAAGTAGAATTTTCTGCTTGCCCGGTTGGTCATACTTGTGCAGAAGAACAAATACACCTTACATATATATATATATATATATTATATATATTATATATATATATATATATATATATATATATTATATATATATATATATATAATATATATATATCATCAGTCGCCTGATGATCGCTTTGCTTTTTTTTAGCTTAGCGTGAAACACCGTGTAGCGACGGCTTTAAATTAAAATAAAGAATTAGTTAATATT